GGGGAGGCTGTTTTTAATCCCTGTTTGACTGATAAGGAAATGAGTAAATAAGTGGCCGTTTTAATGGGAGAATTATTTTATAACCTTGAGTTAAGGATGGCCTTCCTAACTGTATCACAAAACCCATAAGCCATAAAAGCCTGACAGATTCAACTACATAACAATTTTTTCAAATTTGTGCCTGACTGAAATCACCGTAAGCAAAGTCAAACACGGACTGCAAACTGAGAAACAATATTTGCAACATCTATTGTAGGCCAAGGACTAACTTCCCTAATATACAAGTTAAACAAATACTTGTGCATGAATGTTCTAGTAGCACTGCTCACCACAGCCAAAAGGTGGAAATAATCCAAATGTGCCATAGTGGATAAATGGATAAATCAAACACATGCTGTCCATACAGTGGAATATCATTCAGCCATAAAAAGGAATGAAGCCCTGATGATGCTCAGTAAGAGAAGGCAGACACAAAAGATCACATATTGTAGGAGTTCATCTATATGAAATATTCAGAATAAATAAACCCATAGAGATAGAAAGCAGATTAGTGGTTGCCAGGAGCTGGGTGAGGCAGGGAATAGGGAGGAAGTGCTTAATGGATACAATTTGGTGATGATGAAAATGTTTTGGAACTAGGTAGAATTGACGGTTGTTGTACAAGACTGTGAATGTACCAAATGCCACCAAATTGTACACTTTAAAATGGTTAATTGTATGTTCTGTGAATTTCACCTCTATATAAAATAAATAAATACCAAAAATTTCCTTCAAATCTATGAGCAAAACACCAAGAGTCCATTAGAAAAATCACTAAAGGATATGAATAAGGCTTCACAGAAAGGGAAAAATATATGAAACGCTAATCAATCTCATTCATAATGAACATAAATCAGGCATGGCTGGGTCCAGGGGCTCTAACAATTTCAGCAGGACACATCTTTCTCCAGCTCTCCATTCTGCTTTCCTGTATGGTGGCAGGCTCTCTTCCCACAAGATGGCAAAGGTGGCCACCAACAGCTCCAGGCTTACATTCTCCAAGCTTGGCAATTCCAGCAAGGAGGGCAAAGTCTTTGCCGGGAGTCCTAGCAAAAGCCCCAGGAACAGCCAGCTGGCCCAAGCTGGGGCCCACGGCTATCCTTGAACCAATCACTGTGGCCCGAGGGATAGAATGTTGTTCTGCTTGGCCAGGCCTGGATTGTGGACTTGCCCTTGGAGCTGTAGGATGGGGTCAGATCCAAACAAACAATGTGGCCCCAGAGATTCCCAAAGAAGGAGGAATAGATGCTAAATGAGCAATCAACCTGCGTCTGCTATGAAAAGGATGCAGGAAAGAAAGAAGGGGGATTCACAGAAAAGATCCACAGAAAATGTGATAAAGCAGCTTGAAATTATCCAGCTTCGTTGTTTATAAAGCACTCTGTCATCCATTATCTTGATCCTCATAGAGCCCTTTGAGATAGGT